CAAAAACACCATCCTCAGTATTTAATCGTAGGAACTTTCTTCACTGTTACTCTGGTCCATGCTTAACTCTTCTTTGACACTGCCTGTAAACTGACACTGAATACAGTTATTTTTATTATGAAAATATTTCAGAAAAGTATGATGTTTAAGTTGGGTCAGTCAGTAACACTAAGAACGGCGGCAGCTAATTAGCTAGCGCAGACACCATTGTGGAATCAGTCGCTCGAAACGACAGCATGACTAAGCACTGGACGCCCATTATTCTGACACAAGATACGGGCAAAAGTGAAGTCCATCAAACAACAAAATAGACCAGTGAAAATTACATCTGAGGCAGTGCACTAGTGCCCAGAACAGTGACAAACTCAACCGCAAAAATGACTAGCGCAAAACTGAGGTGCTTGTACGCAAGTGCCTTAAGCCTCATATCTAACCTTGACGTCTAAAAATTTGCCTTACAGGATCGTCTCTGAATGTTGTTCAAGGTCAACGCGCGCAGCACGATTTTGAAAAGATAAGTGAAAGTTATATTTTTGGATTCAATTTCTTAATCCCTTGCACAGTTTTCCAGTGTAGACCTGACGAAATTTTCTATTTTTTTCATAAGTCTTCTTCGATTCCTGTCGTGTTTCTGCGATTTGTCATAAAGCAGAAATCTATTGTCACAGTTTTTCACCCAACATAGCCTCAATCCTATCAAGTCTTACCTGCATAAACAAAAGGTTTTCCTCGAAAAAATATAGATTAACATTATATTTTAAACGATAAACCGTGTCTCTTGACGGCTTTCATCGACAGTTTATTGAGAATTATACTGTTATCTATTTTATCCTACATAGCCTCATTATCCAATTCAGATTTATTCATAGTTCTGTTTTACCACCTACGAAATTGTCATTTGCCCGTTTTTTTCTAGTTTACATTCTGGTATTGAGTAAAACTTGCTTAGTATAAATTGTGCTGTCTGGTCCACCAATATTTGCAGCTTTCATAAATCGTTTCATCATACATAGCCTTATCCGTATATCCTCGAAGTTTCGGCAGTTATTATTCATACAAATATTTGGACTTAAGTCTTGTATTGCGTTTTCGGCATGAAACCTCAAGCAACCCTTCGTCGAAATCTGAAGGAAACTAAACTTCATCTGAAACCCAGTGTTCATATGAAAAAAATTGATCTAGGGGCGCTTGATGATTTTAACAACTTTATGTCTCGTTGCGGATCAATTTTTTCTGTCCTTGGTGCCCTTCTTGACGGAAATTTGCCAACGCTTACGTCTCAGCAGTGTGAGAAGCTCATGCCTCTCATTAACCTAGTTGCGACTGAGACTGAAGACAGGCACATACGAAGTTTCAACTTTATATTAAAAAACGTTCCCAACAGTAGACAGCCAATTGATGTCGCCTTTCAATTCCTTTTTTCATGCGGCTTCAACTTTAGGGTCGCGGAAGCCAAAAGGCTTTCATCTAGGAGCAAGAATCCACCCATTCTTGTCAAACTCTTTTCATCGATTGAAGTGGATTTTATTTTCTCCCATTTGGAGCGATCAACTCAATATCTCAGGGCAAATAAACTTTTTATTAGTCGAGACCAGACTCCACTGCAACGAAAAATTTCTCCCCCATTACCAACCGTAAAGCCAACCCCGAATTCTACCCCAATGTCTTTTTCCTCTAAATCAGTTTCTCCATCTGGTGTCGACCGAATCCCCCCACTATCTACAGCGGCCCCAGTTCCATCTAGCTCTTCGACTGATCACATTATCACAGAGACGGTTAAAACTAGCCTCTTTAAAACTCCCCCACGGAGCAAGGATTGTTCAAATGCGGCTCCCAAATTTATAAGGGAGCTTGATCTTTGCAGTAAAGATGAGCTAGTCCTTGAAGCACAACCGGCACCCAGCACTCAGAATAGTGATTTGGTTAATAAACTTACATCGAATCCACCCCGTTCCCACGCCTGGTCACTCAGGTCTGACCTTGCAGTTAGGTCTAATAAGCTAGATGAGAGTTCAGGGAGGTCTTTACCTGTTCCTATCCTGAATTCTCAACTTAACGCCACAGTTGTGAAGCCCTCTTACACATCAGACTGCAAAATGCAAGTATATTGCATTGCTGATAAATTTTCCAATCCCGTTGCTAGCCTGACACCCCAAATAATAAAGCCCTTTCCTGATGTTAACTGTTTCCCGAAACCATTACGTCCGTCACCTAACATAAACTACCCCTCGTATTATGCTAAAAATTCCCAAAATCCTATTTTCTTGTCTCCTATTTTTCCAACCCAACAAAATAGTTTTCCTCTTCCTGGGTCCTCCTCAAATGTTTTTCCACCTAATGCTGCATCTCTAACTAGTAACTGCCCCATAAATTTTAGACCGCAGCAACTTTGTCCTCCACCAATTGCTGCGTTCCAACAGCTTAATTTTCCACCTCCGGCTCTTCCTTTTTTATAAGTAGCAATGAGCGGAACCTACATATCAGGAATACGCTCAGTATTGTCTCCCTCAACGCAAGATCTGTCGTGCAAAAGATGGCACACCTAAGAAGTGTAGCTGTTGAGTTTGACATAGACGTATTGTGCATTACTGAATCTTGGGCCCACTCTCTAATTTCAGACTCGGCACTTAACATAGATAGCCTCAGTTTATACCGCCAGGACCGTGCCGACAGACGCGGCGGTGGATGCCTTCTTTACATAAGAGCATCACTTGCACAATCGCCTTATAACTTGAACATTTCCTCCTTCTCTGGAAATTTATGTTTTGCTTCGGTAATCCTTCAGCAAAATAGGAAAGCCTTAGTCGGATGTGTATATAATCCTCCTTGTTCCTCTGAAAATGAAAGCCAACTTTGTGAACTCTTTGAAAAAATTGCAGAAACTTCTTTTGATGTCAAGATAATCGTAGGCGATTTTAATTTGCCAGAAATTGACTGGCACACACATACTTCTCCTCCTAAATTCCAGAAACTGCTTGACACAATTTACTTTTCAAACCTGACTCAATTAGTTCACTCTTCGACCAGAAACGATAGTGTTTTAGA